GAAATAGGTTAAATATGCCACATTTTCCTAGAAAAATGAAGCATACTGGATAGCCCTGATACGATGGTTCCCATAAGTTAAAGCATTTAAACACATTCAAAATAGAATCTGTCTCTAAAATAAGCATTTTGAAAGCAGAGGGAAAACATAAATCACTGTGATTTCTAAAAAAAGTGAAAAATAATGGATGAAACTAAAAATGGGTATCAAATAGCACAGAACAGTTCTAGAGAGTAAAATGGTATTCAGTAAAAGTTCACAACATTTAAATAGCTGAGGATGATTTTTCCTTTACTGAAAAAAAAGCCAGAAACCTGTATGGAAATGACTGCAGGAAGAAAAACTGATAAGGAAATCTACAGTCAAAATGACAGCAGAAGAATCAGAGTAGGCAGCATCAAAAATATAGGAAAAAAGAAATGTTGTGATCTGCTTTTGAAAATCAGGCACATTAACTAAGGCAGATAATACACAGATGACTCCCCAAGTTAAATTTTTCCTGTATACTAACAGAGGCATCTTCAGTGTGGCTTTATCATTTCATATGCAAAACCACAGGGTCTATCCATACACATACATGGGAAAAGTACAGATATCCTATGCTTTATGTGGTGGAAGTCTGTGGGACTGTTCTGTGTGCTTAGAGAGCTGGAGTTCAGCCTGGAGAAAACTTCTGCAAGGAGACCTTATTGCAGCCTTTCAGTACTCAGAGGGGGCTTACAAGAAAGATGGGGACAGACTTTTTAGCACAGCCTGCTGTGATAGGACATGGTTTTGAACCAAAAGAGAGTAGATTCAGACTAGATGGTAGAAGAAATTTTTCATGATGAGGATGGTAAAACAGTGACAAACTCTCCCAGAAAGGTGGCAGGTGCACCATCCCTGGAAACATTTAAGGCCAGGTTCAGCAGGCCTCTGAGCAACCTAGTCTAGTTGAAAGTGTCCCTGCTCATTGCAGGGGGGTTGGATTAGATGGCCTTAAGCGATCCCTTCCAACGCAAACCATTCTATGATTCTATTTGTAGTCCAATATTTCATGAAACCAAGAAATACTCATTAGATGAAGAAGAGTTTAGGGCTATTCAGGCAAATTGTAAACCAAATTATTTAATTTCAGTTTTTCAGCAATTTAACTAGGCAGAAGCCAAATAAGTAGACTTGAAGAGCCAGGTTCTATGCAGAATTTCCCATGTACTTTGATGACTGGAAGTTAATAAAGCTATCACTTTCTTTTGCATGAATAGTGTTTGTTACTACCTCAGTTCTATTAGATTTATGAATTGTTCATAAACAGAGTCTCATTGTCTTTAATACATTTGTTATGTATATGCTCTCCTGGAACAGTTTAGAAAACCAATTTTCAGGTTATTTTTGGTGAAATGTTTGGTTTATGTATTCTCAGATTTCATAGTGGGTGGTTACTGGACTGTTTCAATTATATTGACTGACAATCTTCTTGCAAATAATAACAAATCCTCCTCCCCACACCCACTCACTGGCATGTCCAGGAGGAATTCTTACATATATAATTGATCCATTTCAAATAACTAAAACATCTGAGACTCATCCATATTTGTACAGTTAACCAGAAGATGCTAGAAGATTCATGACACATGCCCACTATGGAGCACAAATATTCAAAATTTGACCCATGTCCTCAGAAACAGACTTGTGTTTATGAACTTGATTTAAAACCTTTGTTTATTTTTGAACCAGCTGTGGACACTAGCTTGGAAACTATTTTTACTACTACGCTGAAGTACAAAAACCTGATAGTGTAGATGCAGATGCTATAGGCAAGATGTTTGGCTAGGATAAATCAACAGATTTTACACAAAACTGGACTTCCTTTGACAACTGCAGAGATTTGGCCAAAGATATTGATAAGACAGTTAACAGACCTTTTTGGAGCTATTAAGGATTAGGCAGGCTCTCCACCACTTTACTTTTGATATTAATGACACAAAGTCCTACAAAAGCAAGTTCACAATTTTTCAAATTTTAACTAAGTAGAAAAAGGGCAGAATGATACCTATAAATAGACATAGAAGGAGTTCTTGATCATTGGATCTCTTAATTTGGTGACTAGGTCAGAGTTCAGTGCACAAAAATACTTTGTGAATGAAGTATACAAATAAAATTATTTATTAATACAAGAGTGCATTAAGGTAAGTTAACATATTGGCAAACGTTCATCTCTTAAGACTGCAGAGATTATGAAAATACATGCTGTGCAAAAACTATGAAGCTAAAATTCTGAGCCCCTTCCTAGCTTCTAGAAATGTCACTTTTCAGCTGTGTACTCTCTCCCAGAAAACTATAATTATTATATAGTGGAAAGTGTACTTATTTAACATTAAATAATGTGCAAATAATAGAATTCTGCATTTACATGACACTGTGCAACTTTTTAGGTTCTGAAACACTTAAAATTTAAAGTCCTAGTCTTACAAACATTTCACAGAGTTTGTTACCAGGTACCTTACAGCACACTTAACTGAACTACACAGAATAAATGATGCCTGCCTGTAAGTATTTGCAGAATCATCCCTAAAAGAGGCAATGTGACAGGTTTGGAATTCAGTGTCATACACCCCCATAATCAAACACTGAAAAAATATCATAATAAACCACTCAAAATAATGAAGAGAAAGATCATACTATTCAAGATAAATTATATTTGACATATAAAACTCAAATATTAACTTGAGCTATTCAGCACAGTACAAGTGATTGACTATAAAAATACCAGTTAAGAAAGTTATTCAGGATTCAACCCCAAAAGAATTTAAATTAAATCGAATAAACATTATTCTGATAAAGGTTTTATTGTTATTTGGACTGTTCAGGTTGTCTGGCATTTTCCCCACTAAATGATGTGTCTATCATTCAGCACCCAGAAAGATTTTACTGAGGGTTTTTTTCCAATATTGACTCCAGTTATTATTTTTAAGGAGAGAGTGAAGACACAGGTGTTTACCTGCCTGCACTTTCACGGTTCAGATTAGGTAGTTTTCCTTGCATCACACACATTAATGTCCTTGAAAGATAAACACACTTGTTAAAGTGTCCTTACAAGGTGACACAGTTTAGTATTTAATCAGTTATTCCCCAGAGTTTAAACATCAGAAAAGGAATCACAAACACAGTGATTAGTAATCCTTTCATTTCTATGGTCATTGAAAAATTCATATTTATCTACATATTTTTGAAAATCTACTGCTATCTATATAAGGTTTTTTGGAAGATAGAAATACTCTTTTTCAGTGGATTATCTTGGGAAAATTTAAAGAGGTACAGACAATCTGTTGTTTTCCCTGCATTTTTAGATGCAGCACTTTAAGATCTGCAAGGAAATAATTTCTCCCTTTTTTCTTTGTTATAAAGTTTTCCCCTTGAAAAACTATGTGTAGTAATTTTCTTTCCTCTTCCCACATGTAACAGACTACTCTTATTGTTTGTGTGTTCTTCCCTACAACAGTAGAAAGAAAAAAATTAGTAAAATGTAACTAATTCCATAAAACTTACTAGAGTGTTGTCTCAGTTTAATGAGGCTGAAGTGTTTTGCTAAGGAGGATGAGTTTTGAGAAAGATCAAGGTCCTCCCTCTAAGCAACTGTAAATCTGAAATTAAGAGGCTTCAATTGGGGAAGCATGGAGAAAGAAAAGATAACAGCTCTTTATTAAAGGATATATGTGTATTGACAGGACAACAAAAGAACACAAAAACAACTAAACAACAATTCTATATCCAAAGTTCCTTCCAAAAAACCAGTTCAGTACTTTCAGCTTTTTGCCACAATTCTAACCACGGTCAGCAGGGGGCGCTGTTGGATCACTGGAGGAGCAGAGCCTGCAGTTGCTTGTGTCGGCCAGCAGGGGGCGCTGTTGGGCCCTGGCAGTCGCCATGTGGGGGTCCCAGGGCGCGGAAGAAGCCGAAATGGAGATTCCCCCCCACTGAGAAGGGGAAGGGGAAATGGGGAAAAAGGGGCTCTTCCCACATACTCACACTGTCGGTGGCTGGCTGTGGCCGTGATTCCCCCCCTTCATTGATGCACACAAGCCGCTGCCAAACATGGGAGCGGAGGAGGGAAGGGGTGACTCCTCTCTCAAAGGTTCCTTCGCAGATCGGCTGAGCCTCTCCGATGAAATCCCAGCAGGTCTGGACTGAGGGCAGAACAGGGTGCAGAACAGAGGCGAACCGGGGCCAGAAGCAGCCAGATGACCCGGCCGAAAAAAAAAAAAAAAAAAACACTGAAAATCCCTCCACATGCACACCTTCCCCGAGTCAGGGCAAAAGTGAAGTGCCTGCCATTTCCCCAGTAGAGAAAAAAAACTCGCCTCCAACCCTGAGGCGTCTTCTGAGGGCCATCAGTCTGGAATACAGACTGCAGCCAGTTCTTTTGTGCGTGTCAATCACCCCAGCCAAAAGAACTACTCTCCCTCTCCCTCGTTCAACATTCCTCTTTCATATTGATGCAGGGGAAAGAAAAAATCCCACTTGGTTTTTTAGAACAAGTAAACCTATAAGTGTCTGACAAGACACTCCAGTAGGTAAGGTGCTTCTAACATATCTAAGAATGACTAGATTTCAACTTCATGCTGTTCTCTTAGTGCTTGTAAAAGCTACAGCTCTCAGAGCCTTCGGGGCTGAAATCTTTTTTCATTACTTCCACAGAACAAGTGTGGCTGCAGTACAAGATTTTCAAACTTTACAGATAAACACCTTCCCCTTTTTCGGAGTCAGTTCTACAGGAGCAAAGCAGTAGTAGATTGCTGTGACATTATCTCCTAGGATGCCCCTGCCAGTTGCAGTGCTAAGTGGCATTCTCTTAGCTAGCTGGAGAGTCATCCTATTGGTCTTGAGAGACAGAATGCATGCCTCAATATCTTCAGGAGCTGGAAAAATGGCTAAGGACATGGTAGACATTTTTTCAACCTGAAATATATCTACCTTAGATCTTATTTCTTCAATTCTTTGCAGGGTCAATGGAAAAAAAGGCACCTGTTGAAAAGGAAAATTGATTATTTTATATTTTCAAAACTGAGCAGCTATTCCCAGCTGCTGAATGCTCCAGAAGCTGATGAAGCTCACATGCAACAGGGAGGAATACATTAGCAGCTCCTCATCAGACAGCAGCAAAACTTCCACCCCTCCACATCTATACCTTGGAAGTGAAAGAGTGACTGACACATAAGGTATTAGCTTATAAATGATCAATGAAAGTCTCTGTTTTAGCAGTGTTTCTTACTGTTGCTGCTGTCAACAACTACAAGGATTGCACACCTCTTTTCTCTAAATATTTTATTGATAGGTAAGATAACCACAAACATATACACTTTCATTGTTCAGTAGGATCAATACCAACTATAATGTTGCTTTAGCACTGATTCAAAATTGTTTTAGTGAGAAGAAAAATCTCTATTAGAGTCTGAGTCTCTAATATAACATTTTTAGAACAACAAATCCTGAACAGGAAATATGACTGAATGTTTTTTTCACCAAGTATTGCATGATCTCAGGAGAGTACTAGGTTAAAAGACAGAATAGCATTCATATTAAGAAAAAACTGCTATGCATTGATGTCATTGACATCTGTCACTGATTCTTTTTGTGATCTTGCAAAATTAATTTAGTTTCTGTTTTACTTTGTCTCTCTATTGAGAGAATTCTTAACAATATTCAGTTATTGGTTATTGTATGAGTTTGTGAAGACTGTGATCTTTGATTATACTGACCTAAGCCCAAGTCTACCCTCTTGGGAAGACCTGAAGTCCTGCTCCATGATCACCCAAACACACCTCGTTTACTTCTAAAGGAATGGACGGCTGTCATGGGTTGAGATTGCCCCGCCGAGAGTCAGGGGCTCAGAGTGATTGGGTGCCAGGGTAGTGTTCCCTGGAAGGCCAATCACCACTTGTTTTGTTCGCTCCTGTGAAAAATCATATATACACAGCCACTGGAAGCTGTTGGCATCGAGATTAATCAGAATCATGGCCATGGCAAATGGTTACCCTGTTTTGTTCTAGTGATTTGATTGTACTGCACACAGCAAATCAAAGATGACTGAGTTTTTATTCCTGGGACTCTTTAAAAGTAACCTTACTGCTGATATTACACATTGGCTGCCTGAGTTAACTGATTATATGGTTATTTTATGTGGTAGGTGATAAGTCTTATAGCAGTAGCTAGCCTGGGTAGCAGAATATTCAAATAAGGCAAAAGTAAAAATCTAAAGAAGAGAAGGTCTGTTAAGGTTGTTTTTTGCTTCCTCTGCCCAGCGCACCTACAAAGAAAGCACTATTAAGTGCAGGAAGAGGAGTCGACACAAAACTCAGTTCTTTCTCTGGTATTCATGTCTTTCAGATATGCCAGTGCAAACACTTCAAGGGATGCAACTAAGCAAGAGCAAGCCACAGTAAAGACACAAGGTAGGTCCCAGCATGTCATTAGAGACACAGCTTTACAAGCAGACAGAAATATCACCAAGTTCTTTTCTGCAGCAGACAGCACCCGTGTCCCTATAGATATGACTGAAATTAGATTGTACAATTCCCAAGGAGGAATATATCTCATACACTGTAAATAGACTGACACTGATGCTGCCATACACTTATTGTCCAGAAAGTAGATTATAAAGCACAAGTTTCTGAAAGTACCCCTGCAGTAAGTTCAGTGTAGCACAAAAGCTGACAGTGACCCAGCTACACATAAGCAACATTAAAATCAACAGGAGTTGCAACAACATTTGGGATTACAGCCTTCAGATAAACAGCTGAGATCCCTCATATTGTCACAAACCTGTGTCTGAATTATATCACCAATTCATCTATGCTAATTTGTGTTCATTATGTCATGGTATCTTTTGCTTTTTCCTAATTGTAATGTTCATGTTGTCATCCGATACTTTAGATACAATCAGAAAAAAGTGACTATACTTTTTTTAATGTTAAATGTACCCTTTAGACTTAATTTGTCAAGAAAGTAGAATAAAATTAGATATCTACAACACATGCTGAATTTATCTTGTATTCTCTGTATTTATACTTCCAGATTCACTATCTTCTATACTTTCAGGTTCTTTAGAGTAAATGCATAGCAGGCTTAAATCTCCAGTTTCTCAATGAATATGTTAATTTTGATCTCTTCCTTCTCTGGCATCCTATCAACAAGACATGGCAACATAAAGGAAAAATATAAGGCCATTAATACAGAACATTTTGATTACTATGACCTCAAAATTTTAAAAAGCTGTGGCTTGATTGACAAGCAAATACCAGTTGAGAATTTGACAAGGAAAAGTTCCAGTTCATTAACAAATAATATAGAGAAATAAACCAACCTCTTTTACTGGATGGAAATCAGTGAGTTTCAAATATCTGTTATTTATGCATTTACCTGGATTTTCACATTATCACATTGTGAAGAAAGATTATGTGCAGATATCCCAAAATATCAGGCAGTGGAAGGATTTAGGGAGATTTATTTCCAAAAGCCAAGAACACTAACATTTTGGCACAAGGTGTGGTGGGCCTGGGAAAGAGACGCCCTCTGCTCTTTTCAGGGCTTTTATCATTTCCTGACCCCACTGCTGTAGGGGCCTTCAAACATTGCTGCAAGGACTTATCTTTTCTCATACCAAGGAGTCAGCTGCTCTGGAATTCAGGAGGAGAAAACACCTAAGACTCTTCCTGGGAAAGATACCTCTTTCCAGGTGGCAAAGCTTTCTTGAGCAACATACCACTTGCCTGCTCAGATTAAATCTTCTGGAAAGATTCTTCTATATTTACACACATATAATGCGACATTATACCATAACAACCCAGAAACCAGGTATTTAAGCTCTACACAGGCAGAAGATAGAGAACATAGGAAAGGCAAATTAAGCTTTTCCTTGCTTGTCCTGCCAACCGGGAACCACAAGCTCGGTCTAATGCCCAGTGGATTCCAGGCTGTTGTTTAAGCCCAGAATGTGGAATGATGGATCCAAATTTTCCTGTGGTAAATCTGCGCAAACCCACATCCTTTATATACCACCAGCCTGCTGTCAAAATTAGCTTTCCTGCTGTCTGCAGAGGTGTGGATATTATTGCCATCTTTCTCAGCAATTTTGCAGACAATCCTTTGCATCCCATCATTGTGAGAGGGGCTCAACCTTGCCTGTGATTGTATCTTTGAATGAAATTTTCTAAGTACCAGAAATACAAATAGACAACACAGGAAGGTTTACATTCACACTGGTTCTAACACCCCTACTCAATAGTATGCTTAAATAGTACAGTAACATATTTCTTTGAGCGAACGTAATATTTACTGAATTCTCCTTTCTCTTCCTTCCAGAAGCTAATAAAAAATAACAATGAACGGAGAGGACTAAATCAAATAAAAATCTTATTTCAGATTTATTAGTGAACAGGAAAGATAGCTACTGCTTTTTGGAATAAAGTAGACATTCATAGCTCTTTGTGCTGTGAGGCAAAACCATGGAAACACTTACTCCACAAATACATCTGCTCATTGAGACAGACATACACACCATACACACGTACCTCTTGGAGCTGGTCCTGCATCTTTTGTCTCTTAAGCCTCTCCAAAACAGGTCATGCAAAGAAAGAAGTGGATGTTAGGAAGGAGTTTAATTTACATTTGTTCTCACCCATCATAGAGTCCAACATAGACAATATGTCACCAGTTTAGGTTTGACAAACTCTTTGGCTATTCCATGTCCACCCTGTAAGGGTTAAAAAGCTGTAATTCAGTTTCCTCTAGCCATAGGAAGAAATATTACTTTGGATGGTGATTTACATTGAGATTAATCAGAATCATGGCCATGGCAAATGGTTACCCTGTTTTGTTCTAGTGATTTGATTGTACTGCACACAGCAAATCAAAGATGACTGAGTTTTTATTCCTGGGACTCTTTAAAAGTGACCTTACTGCTGATATTACACATTGGCTGCCTGAGTTAACTGATTATATGGTTATTTTATGTGGTAGGTGATAAGTCTTATGTCATCATAATGAGTACATGTAAGTGCTAAATAAAAGTGGACAATTTTGACCAGGAGCCTGAACATCTGACAAGCCATGTGGTGCCTAGATCAGAAGTTGTGTTTTAACATGCTATACATATGTGGGCAGCTGCATCATTTGGCTGTGGGTCCAGGCTCAGGCTTGAACACCCCAGGCTGGTTTGAATGCTTCCTTGTAAAGTCCATGATGGTTTTCAGTTGGGCTCATTTTTAACAAAAGCAAATGCAAATGAGAAGCTACTCAGAAATAGCACTGCATATCAATTTTCTACATCAATTTATAATGCAATGGAAACAGATGGTACATTCAGCACTGTCAGAGAAAGCCATTTGGGTTTTGGGGACTATCCCTTTTTTCTTCTTAATGGTATATTTACTCTATTTTCATTGCTGAGTTGTTTCAACACCTGTATAAAATAAGATACCACCATAAGTGAGAACTACGTAAACTAATCTTGGTAACAGATGCAACTTTTTCAGTCCTAAACTGATTTTCTGACCAATGGTGTAGATTGTAAAGCATACCACTTTTTGATGGCAATCAAAAATATTCACTTGGTTTCTACTTCCAGAAAGAGGGAGTAATTTATCAGGGGTTATAAGAAGCCATTTCAAAAAATATGAAAGGTTCCTTCAATTTTTATGAGGCAAGTTTTATGTCAAAGATGAGTCAACAGATCATTTATTTTGATGTTGTATTCCACGGAGTATTTGTATTCTACATTTTCTACAGTATTTACAAGAAAGGCCAGTATAGTGATCTAAATTCAGGACGCATAGCTCAGAGAAGATTAATTTAGATCAGGCTTGGGGCAATGCAGAGCTTGTGCAATTTACTGTCGCCATTTCCACTGAACCTTCGTTGATTAATTCAGCTGCAGAAAAAAAGTGACCATTGTTTTTTTAAGGGAGGAGCATGGCCAAGGTTGCCAGGTTATGTACTGATATTGTACAGTTCTGAAGTAACCCCTTCTAGTGTCTACAGCCAGTCAGAAATTCTTCAGTTAAACATTTTCATCAGAAATTGTTCATTCAGGAAGAGACACAACCACTAAAATCCACCAAATATCTCATACCCAGAACAAAATTTATGGCCAAGATGAACAAAAGCAATGCAGAAGGCCCAGCCTTCCAGGACACAAAAAGAAACCAATTTAATTTTGAAGACTGAACCTCAGTTTTCCATTTTCCAATGTCCCCCACTCACTGTTCTCTATCACACTTCGCAAGTTTTATTCTACCTTACATTTAGTGATTACTTCCTGGAACAAATACTTGAATCCCCATCACAGGAAAATAACAAAACTGCCAAGCTAAAAAGTATTTCACCTGCTTGGTCTTCTTTTTCCTACCCTCAAGCCCACTGTAGTGAATCTTTTAAGTTGAGACAATTCTCTCAGAATAATAAAATCACTTTCCTTCAAACAGAGTTTCTCTTTAGGCAATATGGGTGAATAAATATGCATTTTCTTCAGGGAGCTCTGAACACTAATTTCTAAGTATTGTCTCCACTGTACAGCAAACATCTACACTGGATATATATATATATCATAAAACAATTTCCCTGTATCCATCAAAGGTAAATTAAGAATAATGGGAAGTATTGTAACAATTCTCACAATAGCTCAGACATATAATAGCTTTGGTAGCTCAGAGAAGGGGCCACTGGGTTGTGAATAACATCCAGATAGGTAAATCTTGATAATAGGGGTCATGGGGGGGAGGAAGAGGGAAAAGAAGAGAAGGAGAGGAAGGACTCATGTTCTGTGATCCTCAAGGAGAGAAGGAAAGTGAGTGACAGTTCAATATAGTGCATGAAAGGGGGAAAAGATTTGAATTAGCTGAAACAATGTAGTTACAAAAGGAATCAAGAAGTGTTCTTCTCTGAGATATGAAACAAATTATTTAAATTTTATAGTACTTGGTTTTCCCATTTCATGAAACAGGGACCAGACATTCTTGTTTTGTTTGGCCTATTTATGTGAAGTCTCCACAGAAGGATCTATGGAACCTGTCACAGTTGCATCAGATTACAGCTACAGTCTTTAAATTCTACAGCATTAATCAATGAACCTTATTTATGTATTTATGATAGCATGGTCTTCCAGCTTAGTGCTGTTAGTAATAACATCAAATTCAATAGCAATACATTTCAATTGGGTTGCTGTTGAGAGTCAGTATACACAGCTCCATAGCAGCCATGTGAAGACAGGAAATCCCAGTGGACATGCCAGACACAGAACCAGCATGTGACCACTGTTTGAGACAAAAATAGAAAACTACATAGTATTTACTTGCCAGTGAAGGACGTGATTAAAATTAGAATTCCATTGTGAAGCAAATGAGCACATTATGTTATTTCCATATATCAAAAAAAAGGATGACTGTAAAAAAAAGTTGTTTACATACTGCAATTTATTTACCCGATATTTATAGATAAACAAAATAGATATGGATCAGGCACATATCAATGCAAATCATATGTTTACGTTCATCAAATGAACCTTATTTTTTGTGAATTTGTTGATAACCTATTATTTCAATAATGAAAAACAAGTAAAAACTTCTCCCAAATGAGCAAATTTTTTCCTACTTACTATGCAAATAGAAGCAAACTGCGTTTTCCATTTCTAATTAAACCTCTACCTGTTCCTCAATCAGATAAATTGCTATTAGCTTCTTGCTAGGTTATTTTTGGGACTATTTTGAACAGAACTATTCTGGTTGCTATAATTAAGACTTCTAAAATTAATATTTAAATTTTATAAATGCTGGACTATGACATCCTGAGAAATAATAATTACCTGTCTGATTGCAGAGGTGAAGTGAGCTGTTATGTGCATTTGACTATTTAATCCTACAGTCTGTATCCCTGGTCACTTGAACAATGCTATTACATTCTGAAGCTGATTACATGGGTTGGTTTGTGAGTCAGACAGCCAGCCCTTCAGGCATGTAAAAATTATGTTGGTTTTATTTTGGTAAGGGGGAAAAATATGCCTGTACCATTTCAAGCAACCTGAACTAGACCTTAGAGTGAAAGCCCAGCCTAGTCCAACCAGTTCAAAACTCTCACGTCAAACCTAAAGTACTTTTTCGGTGCTAAAGGCAGGAAAGAGAAAATTCCTGATCTCACCAGCTGAACATTCAGCCGAGATGTATGTCAATATCTTGTCAAGTCTGTCTGCAGTTCCTGTCTTCAGGTCTGAGACTCTCTAGACTTTGATAATAGCAGGGAATTTGAAGCAGGTTACACAAGAAATTATTAAAGTAATTGCTCAAAAATAGCAAATAAGTCCATCACAGGTTATTATCTGTAATGAGGTTGTGTTTGTGAATGGGAGAGAGAATTCAGTGTGCATATAAAACAATATTCCTAGAAAACAAGGAGAAATACAAATTGCTTTAAGGATTAAATACCTTGAGAGAGATCAGTTTAAGACAGACAGTAGGTGTCCATTACCTTTCATGCCTCTGTTGAAAGGTCTTCAAGAAAAGACTCAATTACTTCAGATGCATTAAGGGACTGATGTCGTAATATTTTTTTACTTTTTTTTTCTTTGTTGGAAATCATGTTCTGAGTCAAAATTTTGATTCCTGTATAATCATCAGTATATTCTATATATTCATGAAGAGCAGGTCAACGTAAAGGACGGTAGAAAAGGCAGACAGAGGAAAGAACAAATTCTGCTATGGCACAAAGAGAAAAAATGAACCGCTTTCAGAGTTTAGTTTTCGAAACTAAATGTCTGCCCCCATCCCTGTAATGTGAAACAACTACCATTTGTTAGTAAAAAGCTGATTAAGACAGTGAAGAAAGACTGCTTCTCCTGCAGTGACTGAGTTGATGCAAGATTTGAATTGCCCTCTAGAAGTTTCTCTCCATTGATTGTACAAGAACCCAGGTCGACTATACTCTTAATTAGGATCTTCAATTAAGTACTTTAAATTTGGTGGGATCAATGCCAACTAAAGAAATTACTCTCACTTTTTTTTTGTACAAAAAGAATGCTACATCATGTCTTTTGTTTCCTGGAAGACTCACCACTGAAGGTACAAATCTTGAACTGTACCTTCTTGAAATCAAATGGGGTTTTATCACTTGATTCAGGGACATTTTGAGGACCTAAAATGGTCTTGGCAATACTATTCTTTTTTCCCTTTCCTTTCAATGAAGCATTTCCTCCCATTCCATGTCTTCCACTGCTCCTCTATAAAACAGTGATAGAGAGTGCAAGGAGACAGACTCACCCCTCAAACCAAACTAATACAACCAGGCAAGCACATTTGCAAATAGTCCCCAACACATCTGCTCATGTCCTCCCCTGTCCTTCAGTAAAGAACTGTAGTCTACTCCTACATGAAAGTCTTTCTGTTGCTCTATCATTTCAATTACCTATTAGAAATTTTACCATAGCTTCCCTAGAAGATGGGGAGAGGAACTGAACAGTCATTAGGTTCCTTACCATATATCTGTAAAATTTCACAAATCTTAGTCTAATTTTCCTTCTGATTGCCTTTTTTATTTCCTATACTTACACTCTAAACTTAATAATATACCATAAACTGTTAGTTTATGGATTGCTACAATAATTGCATAGCAATTCCATACATGACTAATTAAGCATAAAGCATCAATCTGAGCTATAGCTCATCAATTTTTTAGAGAACATTTCAAAAGAAAACTTCAGCTAACTGTTCCTTCCTTTATGTGAGTTAACTTGTCAATAGGAGAGGTTATGATATTTTCATCTTAATTATCTTAATTTTAAAATTCCTCTTTCAAATCAGAATAGTATTGCATAATGGATTTCATTACTTTAATTATTCAGAAATCATGCACTACTTAACAATAATTAACAACTGTCTGTAATTATGGGTGCATAGGGGTTTCTCTGCTTAATGCAAAGTGCCTTGTTGAAAGTCAAGGTATTTCAGTGGGGGAAGGATATAAAATATCATAGGATATGCTGAACAGAAAGCTTTGCTCTTCTGATAGAGAGTAATATAACTTTCAAATTAAAGTTTAATTTCTTTTACGGTCTTTAAAAAATGCTGATCTATTTTAGAAATCATAAAAAAACATATAAAGATATACATATATAGCTGCTATTACCTGAAGTATAAGCAGGATTATTTTACTGACAGTCTATCTTATTTAGTCTGGTTATTACTGAGAAAATAGAAAACACTGTTCTGTGGCATCATGTTCTAGTTATCACATTGTTATTTTCGGTATCAGAAATTAGAAGCACCAATAATACTTACATGTAGTAAATAAGCATCTAGTGAACTAATGACATTTTCAAACTGAGAAAAAGGAGATTATTTCGAAAGTGATCACAAAATTGTCCTTTTTTATTCCCAAACAGGATATCTGTCTTGCTCTGAATGTAGCATTGCTGGCAACCAGAATGGTCAATGAACTTGAAGTTTTTTCTTCAAATAAAACTTGAAAATCAGTCACCTAACATTCCGTTTTTCTCTAAATTAGGAAATAATTGTTGCCAAAGTTATAAATTATTCATAAATTATGTGATCGGTGATTTTGAAGTGTTCATGTTTTTGGTGTTCATCCTTGTCTAATGTCAAGAATTCAGACCTTTATAGATTCATCTTTCCTAGCATGAGAACCTGCATTCATATGCAGATCTGTTCATCTTTCCAAAATAATAGCTATGCAACAACAGTATATTTAGAAACACTTTTTCCTATATAAAAGGATGGATTTTTCTCAATTGGCAGCTTGAGCACTGCACACATGTGTATGTACACACTCATATATGTTCACACGCATATGCATTCTTCTAACTCTCATAATGGAGCTGAGATTTCCTCTAAGCTTTTGTTCAATAAACAGAAACAAAGTCTTTTGCAGTAAGGAATCAATGACAATTTGGAATCATTGAAGTTGTACTTTTTCCTCTTGATTAGTGAGAACAGCAGCACTCTCAGTGAATAAAATTGTGATTGTATTGAGTAGGACTGACAAAAGTCCCATTAGAAAAAGATGCACTCTACTATGTTTTCCTATAATGCTACTTTTTAAAAAAAAAAATCCCATATTTCTTTTGCCAACTGAGAGCATGAAGCTGAAATTCATCCCAAATGTGTCTGTACTTGTTAAAAAAGTACTTCAATATAAAGATGCTGCTGCCATCTATTGGGTAACATTATTGTACAAAAGAATTATGTCATTTCTGTATTCAGCAAGGACAAATAAATTGTGTGATTCATTTGATTTCCTGTAGAGTTTTATTAGCAACTAGGTTATAGCAACCTTTATTAGGTTTATAAGAGATGGCTTATACAAAGAACTTCGTCCTGTCTTTGTCACCATTACCAAATTTCATGAAGAGAAATATTTTAGCATAGTGATGAACTTAATGTGTCAGTGGAACAATGGAAAAAAAAAATCAACAACAAACCCACCCCTCAGTAGTGCATCACATCTCAGAAATGTCTTATAGAGATGTTTTGGTGCACAGTGTTACTAGTGGAACTGCATCATTGTGTTGGAATAAAAAATCTCATTTCCAGCTAAGTGGCAATATTTTGCAATACAAAGAGATTCCTGTGATATTCATGGGTTCTTTTTTACGTAACCTATTGAAGCTTCAAAGAAATATTTTACCCTTTTAAGATTGATTTTATTTTCTTATAAAATTTTAATTGCCATTCTGATTCCTATTGCGACATCCTTGCATCTATATCTTCGGCTACACAAACTGTGCATTTTTATGAAGTATACAGATGTCAAAAGCATAAGCACTGAAAGCATATATTTGAGCTTTGAAAGTTATAGTTCAGTCCTTTTCTTAGTGAGACCACATGGAAGTAAGCGCACACAGTAAAATAAATGAAATAAATTGATGAAGTGTCCCCCTCTGCTCTGGCAGTTCTGGCAGTGCAGAGGCCTTGGAAGCATTGCTCTGCTACAGAAAAGAGACAAACAACTAATAATGATAACAGAAAACAGTAGCAAAAGAATGAATATACTTCTCTAACATCGCCTCTTGCCATATCTTTCTGACACTGACTAATCAGGGCTTTTTGTTTATCTTCTTTCTTAGCTTTCGGAAGAGCAAGAAGGCTCTTTTTGTGGCCCAGGAGAAAATTAGCTGTCTACAGTAAGTATCACGTGCATTGTTGATGCATAGACCACCGGTAACCAGCTTGATATTTTATTGCTACAATGGACTAATAAAAGGCCACCAGTCAAAAACAGCAGGAAGAAAATTCCTCTCTACTTTAAAACAATATATGTGACTCAGAAACACTGGAGCAACAGCAAGTTGGAACCTCGCAATGCTAACTGTACGAGGACTGGAGAATTACACTTTGCAACCTCTGATTTTTTTTGTTGCTGAGGTTAAATCCCAACAAGTTTAGCTAACTGCATTCTATGACTGAGAAGAACTATCACAAACAGTAAAAATTTATTTTCTGCCATGCTTGGAAAAGAACCATTTCTTCTGGCTAGTGTTCTCCTACATAAGTATAAATGCCTCCCATTACCATTAACACAGAAAGGAGAGCTCTTAAGCATTAGACTAGAACTCAGAAGATCTTGCATCTAATCATACTTCTGCTACAGCATTTCTACATGACCTTGGGCCAGACACACAAAATTCTATCTATACTTCAGTCTACTACTGGTAAATGGAGATAATGATATATTTACCCCTTACAGCAGCATTGTGAAGTCAAACTCAGCTTACTCTAATATTGACATTTGTTTTCTGATACTGAAATGATAAAAGTCGTTAAAGGCCTGTTGCAGTAAGGTTAGAGAGGAGTCTGACTTTCTTTTTTGCAAGTTTACCTTTCCCCTAACACATCATTTAAGGAAAAAAGAGTATTATTTTGGAAACAGTCTCTGCTAAACAGCACGAGGAAGACTTGTATGTGGAAGAGCAGCTGCAGAAATAGAATATGCAGTAGAAGAGGAAGAAAACTCCACTCTTGTTCTGTGGAAGATCACAGAACCTACCTACAGAAGGGCTGATAACGTAAGCTCAGTGTATTCTAACAACCAGAATTTCAACATTATAAAAGGAGAAATGTCTGCAGATGGCAGCATGGTGAAATTACAACCTCTGTCAACTGAAATGGCAAAGGGGATATGGAAAAGTGGCTCCAGTGTAATATCAAAACCACGTTGTAGGTTTTTTGGACAGACAGAAAGTGAATTTACAGAGAATACAATTTAGATGTGCTTTTACGAAATAAAAGCCACAGTACCATTTGAGTTATACTAAACTATGCTTTTAATATTTCTACTGCTCCAATCAACTGTCCTTTTTATTCAAGTAGGCAGATATTTTCCATAAGGATTCTTGTCCTTTCTGCAGTATCTATAGATTAGTAATACTTTGTAGTTCCCTGGATGGTATTTTTACTTATATTTAATCATACAAATGATTTTGTTCAACTGAACTTTTGCAAAGCCTTTGGTTCTTAATACCTTCAATTTCTCCATCCTAATCCTAACTTGACCAAGTATCTACTGGTTATTAAGTAACTATGCCATCAGGATATGTTAAAAAGAAAAGAAAAGCCAGAATTTAGCTTTCTCCAGTCTGGCTTTCTATGTAAATCAAGGCCAAATGTCTAACAGAAATGCAGTGTTCCTCTATGAGAAATGAAAATCACAAAGAAGAGGTCTAACATTTTCTTCCCTTTAAAACCAAGGGCTGCAAATGCAAAGAACTTTATATACTGAGGTTTCACTTTTGCTGCTCTATAAACACAGGGTATAATAAGATAAGGCTGCAGATACCTGTTCAATCTCACTTCTGCAGCAATTAAATCTGGGTAGGGTACCATGTAATTTTGAAACACATTTTCTTCTAAGTCTCGTGGACTGGAATCTTGTTTTTACTTGTCTTGGAATGTATCCCTCAATTAAACACATTCAGTTAACAATATGAAAATGTAAACAACTCCTTACCTGTTAAACTGGCATCATACTACCATTCTCCCCAGGAACTGAATGACAACTTGTCAATGTAATGAAAAACTGGGGTTTTTTTCCATCTCTGACCTGAACGGAACACATGAAGAAACAGCAGATGGGAGTGTGATGAGCTAGAGGAATACAGTATTGGACAAGTATACTGGGCTTAGTTATGAAGAAAAGGAAAGGGCTAACTTCTGGTTAGGTAGTAACTAAGCAGCATAATGAAAAGTGTGTGCATCTAAAATGCCTTCTCTGTGTTGTATAGTTACTCTGTGGTTCAGGGAATTATTTTTAAATCACACTTTTCCTCTAGTGGCTACTTCAAATTCCTCCTTTAAAGTTTCTCTGCTCCAGAGGTTTGAGGTCTGGTTTTCTAAAGATCTGAAGACCAGTAGCTAGAACTAATTCAAAAACACTTGTATCCTGAATACCTGAAAGTCAAAATACTGACTTTGCCAAAGCAGCATGCACCAAGCTCAGTAGCCAGTTATTTGAGATTTGAGGACCTAACATCAGCCACTTCCCCTCTTGGGGAAGCAGGGAACTTCTCAGGAAAAGAGAGGAAGAAGAGAAGACTCCCACACAACAAAAGCTTTATGTGCAGTAACTTATTGTCTGACTGCTTGGACAAGCATCACGAAGGCTATATGGAGCCAAAGTCATCCTTTTGTATGTACCAGGTGAAGGGAAGCATTTATAATTGGGAACTGTTTATGTGCTCAGCAGTTGGACTATGATCCGATGTATTGGCTGTCTATATTGCATTTTGTACTCAAACAACTGCTATCCGTATCTCCAACAGAAAAGACAAGAGTCCTAACTGCTCAGAAAACCAGATGTGACTGAAAGATCATTAGCAGGACCCAGCACGCCTGAAAACTCAGATCCTGTGTGTCTCAGTTCAGACATTTAAAATTACTGGAAACACTGTAGTTCCAGCCCCAATCACTCTGAGGTTCCCTTAAGAAAGGGAATAGCAATATAATAACGAATAATAGGGATTGTGCATGTATATTAATGGAAGTCACCACTGACTATCTTCATTGTCAGGTTGATGGACCTCAACCATCCTGTGATCTTTATCCCATGCAATGCATTAGACAACATAACGAACTTGTGAAAAAAATTACCAAGATTCAATGTAATTAAAGGGTATACCATACAGTTTTGACACCAGGGATGGCACAACTGGCGATGAGCCTTAATTCTTTATCATGATAATTCCTAAATTTCAGTGGCTGAATGTATTCATTTAATAGAAAGTTTGGGAATAATTTTGAGAGGGGAGAGAGAAGGGAAGTGTTTTAATAACTCACAACCCACATAGATGCACTCGTAACATTTTTGTTCACCTCATCTTCTTCGTGTATTCCTCTCCATTTTACCTCATTTCTTCTGCCTCTTTCTTGCCTGTGTTTTTGTAGACTCCTTCTTTTCTTTCCAGGATCCCTAACTTCTCAGTCTCAGTACTGTACTGAATAGAAGTAAACGAAAAATTGAGTAGCTCTAGGACATAAACAACTGTGACCTTCCCCTCTGTCCCTCTTTCCCGGAAAAACAGAGATTGAGCAAGTTCATTTAATGGTACCAGCTCTTTTTATCTACTTTTTATTTCAGTCTATAGAACAGTACTATGGATGGAAGGAGATAACTTAAATGACACACAGTTCCTGGTATAAAGAGGTTTGGCTTCCTTTTGTAGCAACCCCTCAGAGAAACAATAAGTGAAGCAAAAAGACAGATATTCTGTTCTACAAAGTCTCTAAAGTTCAACATAAAAAAACCCCAAACTTCTTCAGTTATGTAGTACAACCTCCTCAAAAAAAGCAGGAACAAGAGGCAGATCCTAGTTTACAATGTCACTGAAAATAGAAATTGTTTTGTAACTTTTATGTTTCCTGGGTTTTATCCAAATGTCTGTGACTCTCAGTTTCATTTTAGATGTGTGCTGGATTTCTCCCCTTTCTTCTTTTCCCTCCCTTAACAAGCATTAATTATTTGTATGCCATACAATCCTGAAGGGCAAACATTCTTTTACAGGGGAAGGGAGACAAACATTTTAAGATGGGGGGAAAACAGAAAAATACTTATTAGCCCCCAAAGTCAACACTTTGCAGGGCAGAGTTAGTAGTGCAATCACCCTATGATAAGCTGAGATCATGGCAAAAAAGCAGCAGAGAACAGCAAGCTTCCGACATCCCCAACTCCACCCACCCAGCAGCTGCTCTGGAAACCCATTAGAACAATTTTATAGCCATTCCTGTAGTTGCCAAATGCTACTTAATATAAATAAATAAGTCCATTAAAGGAGAAGCTTATCCATAAACTTTGGAAGATTTTCAGTTATATTTTCTGTCAGTTCAGTCTAATGTCACCTCAGAAAATTCTCTAATTCCACTATATACTGTAGATATCTTCATAATTGAAGCTATAGTTATCCTTTACAGAACAGCTTGAGACAGTAGAATTAACTAAGATAAATCAAGAATTAAACCACAAGAAAGATAAAATAATGTTAAAATCATGTTCTTGAAATATAGATAATAAAATTGAAATTATTATTTTAATTTCAGATTGAAATTAAATGGGATTTTTCCTGTGTGTTTATGGTGGTGGCACCAGACACATCAGTTTTAACACAAAGAAGGGAAGTGGTAAATTGTGACTAGATTGCAAGAAAACCAGAACTTGTGTTATATTTGAGTCATTGTGGGTTAGTGAATTCAAGTAAACAACTAATCCTTCACATCAATCTGGCCAAATCCTGAGGGACTCATAACATTTGGGAACTGCTCCTGATTTTGTGATTTGCTCTCCTCCTTTGGGTCCAGGAGTTCCTAATTCCAGATGAGGCATCCAGCTGAAGATGCATAGGAGCAGTACTGAGGCACCCCAAAGCTGATTGCAAAAGACACATTCACTGAATGAACTGAACCTGCACTATAATAATAACAAAGGATTTACTAGTTTTCTATGTTCAATGAATTTTTCAACACCAGTTCTTTATAGTAATACTGTATTGTGTAGAATAAATAAGATCATAGATAGCAATGCAATTTTAAGGATCCATAGATTTGTTTGAACCACAGCAACAACTCTTCATGTTCACTACAATAACATTCAATTAGCTCTAATGAGTATAAGTTTTAATGTTTAACCCAATGCCTCTCTAAGGATATGCTTGAGAAGAGGTGCAGCTACCAGCTGGTAAAATATAACACATCTGATTAGGACAAATTATTTTCAAAACATAACTGCCATAAAAATCTAGAATGAAAGGTAAATTGACAGAATGATTGCTGCTAAATTCTATTGTCAGCATTGTAAATGCAATAATATACCATAATTTATTTTAATGAGCAATGATTAAGAAATGGCTTCTCAAGTTTTATGTAATTTCTTTAAATCATTAGTTATTAGTTTTTCATGCATAAATGTATTTTAATATTGGCTTATCTGAGATCTAGTAGATGACTAAAGCCTTTTAGTATATTATTTTTTTGTTTGTAGAGTTGTACATTGCAGACAATTCTAGCACAAGGCATTTATAAGAAAGAGATCAGTGACACCTGAGAGAAATATTCCTTAAGTATTACAAAAACTATATAAAGCAATATGAGAAAGGTGTCACAGAAAATCCTGATATTTAGATAAAGCAAAACATTGAGTTTTGCTTTATCTAACTGCAGCTACAGTTTAACGGCCTCTGTCTTAATAAAATATTTAAGTTAACCTGGTTGCAGAGTGACTTATTATACTACATGTTCTTTCACTTTATTAGGATAAAGAAATATTATCAGGGGAGGCTGGACTAAGAAGCCTAGGTATTGCTTGTATTGTTAAAGAATATGTTCACATCTCAGAAAAGCATAAAGACCTAGAGAAACTGACACCTCGTTAACTGAAAAGGCATTCTACTTATCTTATAGAAAGCAGTCTACTTTGTGCTAAGAAGAATGGCTTAGAAAAACAAACAGCCTCTCTGCTACCAGTCATTCTCATGTAACATAATATTTATTGTGCTTGCTCTTATCCAAGCTGGGGGAGGGGGTAGAGGGGGAAAGAAACAAATGCTGAACAATTCTCTTCAGAAGTCAGACTTTAACCTGACCTAACACAGTGCATCATAACCTCATCAGTATGAGTCTCATGGGAATCAATGCCTATTCTTACAAATTCATCCATGAAAATATCTTTAACTGGGATATATGAGTTATCTTGGTATACAGATTTTTTTTTTTTTTTTTTTTTACTTACAGTATTCTGTCAGGTTATATTTATGTTGTTTA